AAAAAATCGCGCGCTTTAAAGGTTGTAAATTTGATGTAAATGATTTAACAGAATTTTGGACACTTACATCATATTTACATCAAATTTTCAACCTTWAAAGCGCGCGATTTTTTCCAGCGAAGTCGTATTCGACCGAACCGGTCATTCAACTCGTACATGTAGTTCACGAGACCGAGTGGTCGGATTGTTTTAGTGTCCAACAAATTCTCAGCCAGCTTAATAACAGTTTTTTTAAAAGATTTATATTGATTCTATTTTTGTAATTTTTAACTTGTACATCAAAGTGAAGTTTGAATAAAGTTTATTTACTTAAAAAGAGACCATAAAAAAGAAACTTTTCTTGACATTGTTCTTGGCTTTATTTAACTCGACCATCTACCATGTATTGACCATWGTTAAATAGCCAATCAGAGGGCTGGATTCAAGAGAGTCCAAAGTTCAATGGATGCTAAAAATATGTTATAATCATAATATCAAAATCATATCAATTTAWGTTTTGCACCCCGTGATCCTYTTCGGTCTTAGCATCGATGATTTCAMYTCTTTGAACACAACGTTTTTACAGTTGTTGTAAATACACTTACTTCGTCTTTATACTTTTAACATATTATCATTACCGTTCTATAACATTTGAGTGTTGTTAAAAGACCAAATTTCAATATTGATGTAAGTGTTATTTACGTATGTCACAAATCACCATGGGACCGAAAAACATGCCAAGTATAGKAGAACAACAGCCCAATTTACGTAAGTAATGGTCTAATTTTTTTACAACGACGCGGATATTGCATTGCCAGCCCCCTAGAACGCATCGTTAGCGATGAATTAGCMATTTCAAAGGCACCTCAGGTAGATTTATCGCTTTGTATCTGGAATTTTTACTATAACGAAATAGTTTTATTGACATGTTTTTGATGTCCTTTCAGATAGTGATTTTTGATAGTTTGAACAGTTTTAGTTCTTAAGCAACGGAAGCGAACAGTCATAAGAATTTCCACAGTCGGATRCCCAATTTTTTGAAGTCAACAAACTAACGTCCCAAGAATAAATAABATTAGACAGAACATTGGAAAACGAAATTCAATTCCTGGGCATAGAATTAGCTCTCCAAGAAGGCGCTTCTTTCGCTTTGAGGTAAGAGATCACTTGAAAATAATATAAATCGCCAGTTTGAATTGCAAAGCAACGGGGTTTTAAGTGGCTCGTATTTAATAAAAACTAGACATAAACAATTTTATTACTGGGCGGAACCATTGACAATTAAGAATTACTAAATAATGTGATTTTGGGAAATGTAACCTGCTAAAAGTTGAAAATACCACATTAAAAAACTCGGCATGATTTAAATCTTTCCCAATTTCATCAGTGTGGGAACTATAAAGAAAGTAAAAATACACTAAAATGCCTCCATTTTATACTCATGYACTTTCCATGTCGTTTAGGAGATCCTTTTTTTCTGATAATAGAGCTTTTAAAGACGTTAAAAAAGTCAGACTTTTTAAAAGAAGGCACAAAGTTTGGATGAGCTAATGGGGATTTCCTTTCATAGGGTCGCGCTATACATAGTAATTTTTAATTTGTTTTTTCAAAACATTCACCTTTCAAAACAATTCATGACGTCTTCTAACATTAAAATATATGTACATGTATATATATATATATATATTGATCATATGGCGCTCATTGGCCGAAATCATTTTAAAAGATGGTTGATAAGCTTAACTTTTCAATGAAATTGTTCTTTTTTCYTGCAAATGTCTAGCTATAATTTCTCTCTCTTTTCTTAATCTTTTCTCTTYCTATTCGTTTATTAAAAATCTAGCTACAATTAATGCTTTCAATTCTACAAAAGTCTAAACAAAGACTTCTATTAAGTTAAAGATGACTTTTGTCAAAGAAAAATTCAAGAACTGGGCTTTCAAATAGGTATAAATGATTCTGGCTGTATATGTTCTTCCCTTTCTAAGCGCTACAAACAATTTTCTTTGGGAAACACAGTTCATTGCTTTAAAGTCATTCTCTTTTTAGCATTWTAAAATACACTGAACAAAACAGAACAACAAGAAGAAAATTTAACTAAAAATCACAATTAAGACAATGTAKCTAAACTGTTGTTTTTTACTTCATTCTCTTTTATAAAATAAAGTCCTATTTCGAGGTATTGAATACAAATAAAGCATTTGAAAGTTCTCGAGAAAAGTCATTATTGTCAGATCGTTACTTTAATATCYGTGGAGGTCGAATCACGCGGGGGTGGCTAAGTGATAATCACCATCCAGWAATTTAATAGTTTTGTAGCGTATATAACCAAGCGACATTTGTTACAGTACAAATCACAAGCCGGCCATTGATTTGTAAGGTAATTATARCCTAGATTATATATTTTTTTAGAGAAAGCGAATGGTCCTTCATTGAAAAGGTTTTCAAATTCGAGATCAAATGCGATCGAGGCTAAATTAGGTGTAAACTACGCGAATTATAAGTGCTCCTCTTTGAGGCACCATTCGCAACTTCTAACTATAATTATCAACTACATTTTAAAATAGAAATTGCAGCTAAACTGTGGCTTTTTGAAAGTATATAAAGCTCTTTTATACTTTAATATTTATAAATGGTTCCGAAAAGAATTGGTTATGATTCCAAACAGAATATATTCGAATCTGTAATTGTCAAATTTAGTTGTATTGATACGAACCAATATCGCCACTTGTAAGAACAGCTACAATTCACAAGTGCTCCATCGCTTTACAAGGCAATTATACAATGTAACACTCATCTGAAATTGCCCATAATGAGTCGAAGAAATGCAGTCTTGACCACTGTTTCTGAAGTAAAACATTTTTTTTCTCGTTGTATAATACTTAGAAACTGTAACCAAAACCACCTTGGGTAACGGCCCCAAACACAATTTTCGGAATTTTACTTCCCGACAACGAGCGACTAAAAGTCAATAAAAATTAGAACTTCTTAGAACCATTGTTCTAAAAGCMTTCTGTTCCTGGAAAGCGTGTTTACAGTTTACTGGTCCTTTTTTTGTTATAGACTGAAGATCTCGTTTTTGAAATCTTTTTCATTCCTTTGAAAACGGTGAATATAAAAACGATACGAAAACGTATCGTTGTGAACGAGTCCTAACATTTTCTTAGCGTTTTTTTGTGCTGTTTTGCATTTCCTTGAGGACAGAGAACAATACAAAAGCCGTCAGAAAACGCAACAGGGTAAACGAGTTCTAACGTTTTCTTAGCGTTTTTGCATAATTGTTTTTCATTTCCTTGAGGGCAGATAACAATACAAAAACACTAGAAAACGCAACAGAGTGAGCGAATTATAACGTTTTCTTAACGTTTTCGTATGTGGATTTAAATTCCCTTGATGGTGAAAATAAAATAAAATAATAATAATAAAAAAACGCTACGAAAAGGCATCAATGTCGACGGGTCCTAATGTTTTTTGATAGCTTTTTGGTATTACGTTTCATTCTCTAGAAGGAAAAAAAAAWTCAAAAAACGATGCTAAAGCGCTGTGGTGTTAATGAGATTTATTTTGACTTATAATATATTTCGATATCGTTACGTAAATCTAAAAAACGGATTTAAAGAAAGAGAATTAAAGATAATGAAAATGAGGAAATGAAATAATGAAAAAAAAAGTTTTAGGACGCAGCATTCTTAATGACAGCGAAACAAAATAACAGAGTCATTTCWGGCAAACAGTCTGGTAGTTGATCTAGCAGCTATGAAAATGCATTTCGTTTAATAACGTATATTAATTTTCTAGCCTAGCAAAGACTACAGTCGATGGCAGCCCTAGTTAGCAGGGATGTTCATTAATTAACTTTCACTTGTATCAGCTTTTGCTTTAACAAAAAAAAACAACAACAACAACAGCAACAAGAAAACAAAACAAAACAAAAAACAAAACAAAAAACAAAACAAAAAAACAAAACAAAAAAGCAAAAAACGTAAACAAAAAGTACAGCAATTTCTGAACTCGGTTCAAAAATTCTTTGGCACTCTTTTTATACGTTTTATTAACACTTTTTGACTGTGTGTTTAAGTTAAGTATACAAAAACCTGTGCATGGTCAAAATTTAATTAAAAAAMCAGTATCAAATRGTAAATCTCAAAGAGTTCAAAATAYATATTTTGTTAATAACTATGTCTTGCGGCAGGGCGCGGYGATGTTCCCCATCGTTGCCTTAGTTTATAAAATTACAACGATTTTTCAWCCATTTCTATAGTATATACTTAACTAATTTATGGCTGTCGAGTCTAATGATCACGGCAAATAAGCGCGCAGTGCTATCGGCGCCTTTGTAATTGTTCATTATACATTATTTCATTARTCTCCTCGCAGCCGTGTTTAGTTTCGGTCACGTGATGAGATTATTATGTCATCTGCTCCGTTATTGTTCATATTGATGGCTTGATTCACAGATTCTTTTTGATATTGGTAAGCCATTTTTGCCATTCTTGTGTTTGTTTTTAAACAAACAAACAAACAAAACAAAATAATGGTCCATGCTCTATGAATCGAAATATTGCTCGATATATTGCAATACTTGCTTGCTCTTTAAATGGAAGTGTATTTTGATAGGATATTTGAAGGTTCTGAATATAGAAAAATCTAAAAAATGACCGCATTGAATGCCGGTTGAGCGTGACACTTTAATCTGCTTTTTGCAAATTCATAGTCAGAAAGAGATATGACAATTTATATAAAAAAAAATAAGAATTTTTGCCGGATAATGAGGAATAGAAATGGTAATTTTTCCCAAATGACGTCGTAGTACGTTCTTGTGCAATGTTCTGCAAGATTGACAAAAGTACAAAGGTCTATAGATTGCTATATTGTTGATTGTTTCTATCGTACTATTTTTAGATTCCATTACAATATGGCGATTCTAGCACTATCATTGTTTGTCTTTATGCTGATTATGAACACACTTCCTGGAACAGGTATKTGAACAGACCTTATCACTAATACAACCAATCAGCGCGCGGTTTCAGACTGAAGTAGTGTACCATCCCAAAAAGCACCGCAAGCTGAGAATATTTTCTTTCTCACAGTATTAAATTCAAAATGGAACGAGTAAAAGTGGAAATTTACCTTACAAACCGTCACATATATTAAGTTAAACGACTAAATTTTGCCTTTCGCGCAGTAGACGATCGAATTCCACGATAATTGTGCACGCGCGCCGATCACCTGGAACAAAGAGACACAGCCAAATATATATATATATATATATAAAAGATGTCCAGTAGAACAATAGGAATCGTTTAACATAATTCTACAATTCTTTGTTTTTGTTGCTCGATCTATCACAAGCTTCGTTCTAACGGTACGTAGTCGTCGACCCATATAACCGCCATCTTGAATGGCATGTTGTTTCCCTCAGCCACGAACCCCCTCAAACCTCAGCCATAAAACGTTTGTCTCTTACTGACGTTTCGGACGTTAATCCTTCGTCGGAGTAAAGAGCAAGGATTAACGTCAGAAACGTATGTTATTTCACCTACTTTTTTACGGTGTTAAATTTATCTTTTTACACAATATATTTATAAGAAAACGCTTCTCACTTTGATGTTTCAATTGTTTATAGATTCCGCCTGCCCAGTGTCCTTCGTTAAGAAGGGCTGCTATAAGGATGAAGATTCGAACAGACGGCTACCCGACCTATTGCTCAACGGGCGAGGYGACGTGAATTGGGCAAACTGGAACACTTTTATTCAAGGGTACGTCCACTTATTGGACATATTTGTTATCACGGACAGTCCAATGCAATATCACAACGAGTACTGAGTTTGAGTACGAGTACGAGTTTGGCCTTTTATGTGTTATTGATAATGAACTGAATTCCTGTCAATTGATTGAAACATCAAATAAATAGAGGATATTATATTGGGCGCGCGGAGATACGGATTTCATCTTCGAGTGTGGAAAAGATCTCGTAGCATAGCGAGCGAGTGAGAGATTTTCAACACGAGAAGATAAAATTCGTATCTCTAAGCGACTATGTAGCATTCTGTTTATCATATAATTATCACTGAAAGCAAATTATGCCGTTAAATACCTTTCTCTTACTTGAACTTTATAGAGAAAACTCGAATGTGTTATTTTCACTAGTGAAAATCACAACTTTATGTAATGGAGAAATATAGGTATTTGATAGATAATTATATGATAAACAGCTTTATTTTTATTTGCTTGTTCGGCTTTACGATTTCACGGAATCACGCACTCCTATAGAACTCGTCATTACGGTCCCTGCGGTATTACGGACACCCAATATTACGGACACCCAATATTACGGACACCCAATATTACGGGTACAACATTATCACAACTTGGTAAACATTTCCCTAACTCTTCCTATTGCCTTATTTTAGTTTCATCTGTGATTGTGCCAATACAACCCTCAGTAAGGGATACAAATATTTYGGCATTCARTTCTATGCCGAGTGCTGGGGTGGTGACGTCACTGAAGCCATGATGCAAAGCATGGAATCCAATGATAAGAGCCCGGATGGATGTGTTAATACCGCGGGACTGGGTTCCTGTAGCAGTGAATCTGAGATGTGTGTTGGTAAAGAGTGGGCTAATTATGTCTATGAGGTTGAAATACCGACGACTAAACCCCCTGAAGGTAAAAAAGTTTAAAATCCAAAAAAATTACGTCACTTATTATCCGGACGATCCCCCCCCCCYCCCCCCAAAAAAAATTCGTTGGAATACGGAATTTCAAGTCTTGGAATCCGGAATCGAGCGCTTGGAATCCGGAAACCTCTAGTTCTCTTGTTTCTCTTACATAAGGATGGCTCTAAAAACTCATTGTATCACGGCCTGGTATCATCGTTTTTTGTTTGCCGTTTTGAAAAATTCTTAGTGCTTCTTTCTGATTGGTCGATTCAATCATACAAGCATTGAAACTCGTGTTCCTTGTGCTGATTTACGCGCGTAATTTTTTGTTTCCGTTAGCAATTGTTAAGATGCTCTAATCAATCTCTCACGCGATAAGTTTTGACGTTTGGCGTCACTGCTTACTGAAAACACCGCGGCTGACTTGTATCTTTTTTTCTATTTCAGACTGTAGCGACAAAAACGAAAACTGTCAACAGTGGAAAGAGTGGAATCTTTGTGCTGAAAAATATCCAAAAGTACTTGAGCAGTGCCCAAAATCCTGTAACCTTTGCACCAAATAATAATTCTTAAAAATCTATGTATAAAATAGTCTCCTTTACGAATACCTGCGCTATCTTGAAAGGTAGCCGTGCCTTTACATCAAAGAGAGAAAACCGTTTAGCGTGCAATGATAGATATCTGTGAATAATTGTCTGTAGGAGTGAAAGGTTTCTATCATTGCACGGTCGTCTSGCTTCGATGCAAAGGCACGGCTACCTTTCAAGATGGCGCAGGGAACCGTGAAGAAGACTATTGACAAAAATGGTGTCCAAAGATTAACGCCATCAATGATATTAGATAGCTGATCAAGTTCTTGCTAATATAATTTCAGTCTCACGTTAAAATAATTTTTTTCACTATCATTCTTTCAACTAGACGCTCTTAGAGCGCTCACTCGGGACGCATCAAAGAGCAGTTAGATAGAAATTATAATGTATACAARTGTATTAGTTAGAGTTTGCTAGGTTACTGAGAACACGCACCTATTGCACAATAAATTAAAAATATTTAGATTGTACTGTATATCAAAAGTAATGGATGTCTTGACATTTCAGTGAAACCATTGCAATTGCATAGTTTCAGACATCTACTTAGCAAACAGCTYCACGGCGAGGGAATTGATTTATTTATAAAGTATCAGCATCTACCTCAGCCGCATTGGAGATTTGTTGATCACTTAAACCAGAATCCCATCACAAACATTATGGACTTTAGACTGACTTTTGCTAACCATATTTGGCAATAAATTTCACAGGAATCCCACTACAGACRAATGTTATACCTTGCTCTAAAGGACCTAAATTTGACCTTTTAGTGTCAATAATATTTGCAAATCATTTYCACAGGTATCCCAACTCMATGTTTTCTCATAAATTGTTTTTAGATTTCCAATTCAAATTGAAGTGTTGACCATAKTTGGCAATCACTTCCACAGGCATCCCAACACAAAATGTTATCCGTACAAGATGCATWTCAAATGACTTCCATTTAAACCTTGGMTGTAATCACTTCCACAGRAATCCCAAAACCGCAAAGTATGTCATCCTGATAACTTGAAAGTATGTCAATGCTTATTTTGAGTGATTACCATATTTGCCAATCACTTMCACAGGGATCCCACCGTTTAAAATCTTAGTATTTCCATAAGCAATCATATGCACAAGCATTCTGTAGTTGTCAGTCAATTATCACTGTACCTGGTTATTTGAATGATATGTACTTGCATCAACAAGCTTGTGTTGAGGTCTAATACATAGGATTTTGAGCTGGTCTGATGGCTATCTTGCCATCGCTATAGTGACAGAGAGTTCTTTCAAGGTCTGCTGTCCCCTGTATATCATATTTTGAATTGCATCCTGTAAAAGACAGACTCATTTCAATCTGCAAAACTGGTTTCTTTTGTTTTTGCATTGAAAAATTAGTTTAAAATCAATTGATTAAATTAAATTGTTTAAATCTCTATTTGTTGTTATAGCTACATAAAAACAATGCCTTTTTGTCTCTCATTTTACTGCACATGTACTGTGATACAAATGTGTGTGATTTATCAAAGAGTGGATGCCGTATGACTGTRCAAAGGCACACTTAACTGCATGGATACAGCGTAATAAGCATGGTTATGGAACCTCGTCCTATAGCAACGCCAAATGAAAGTAGTGAGCACATCACCATATCATGGTACAGTGCCGTCATAACACAAAATTGCCGTTTTCTGCACAGTCATATGCATATGATATTTTTTATTTATAGGYAGTAGATATAAACAAATTAACTTTTGCTAGGTATCGAGAAGAGCCCAGGAAGGCGAAAAGTTTTCTTCTAAATACTAACACYTCTCGACACATAGCAAAGGTTAATTTGTTTATATCTACTACCTATAAATCAAAAATGTTGGTTTCAAACTTTGCATTTGCAAAAATGACAGATCTGGCTAAGTTGTATGCATATGAAATCTGCTCTAATACTGTTTCATGAGAAACACCAATGCAAGTTGGACCGTTTTAATTTTTTTGCTTGCTATTAAAGTGAAGGCATCTTATATTAAGATTGGAATTTTCCCTGTGCCATCTTAAAAGGCAGTTAATTGTGTTGGCATTGAAGTGAGTTGACCAGTGAAACCTTGATTTATACAACACTTATCAACAGGTATCTATCACTGCAAGCTCATTGCTCATTGTACAGTATTGTGTACTGGGGCACAGATTATGCCATTCAATAGAAACAAGAGCTTAAAGCAATGCAGCAGAAACCATACAATACCCAAAGATGCAAAGAAACATAACCAGAATAATATAATAGATTTCGTTAAACGTGCAGAAACGAAGTCCCAAAGCCACGGCTTTTAAGGAACTGTGAAAAAGRGAGTCCAAGTCTGTGATTTTTACCTGATCTTGGGTGCCTTTATTTTGCTTGAATTCATCTCTCGTCCAATTYCTAAGTTCTTTTTGGTATTCTGGGTTTTCTATTTGTTTTATAGTTTTCATGATTTCACGATACAGTGACAGAACTTGCCTTCTAACTAGAAACTGAAAAACCAAAAAATATTCTCAGTAAAATGCTGGATATTTTCAATCTAAATGGATTATAAGTTACCTGTAATAAAGAAATGCGCTTATATTTTCCATATATACTTCCAAATAAAAGATATAGCTAAATATTACCCTGCGCTTACCTGTTTCAAAGTTAGAGTATTTGGTGGTAAACGAGCCGCCATCTTGGATTTTTGTCTGATGATCAACACAGGAACCCCATTTGATTTAAACAAAAATCGAATACTGTAATAGACAATTCTATGCTAAGATAGAATTAGAAAATAAACAGAATTTAAAGAGATGGACAAATACATAAGGGATAATGGGAATCGAATATAAAAATCGAACTCAGAAAAAAGATATTTGTGTTATTCYGGGRTTCCTGTGGTTTGTGGAGTCTGGGTCTAGTTTCTTAGTAACAAGAAACAAGATGGCGGAAAAACAACAACAAAATGTACGGCCATTGAAACCTTTGCTGAATTCCGTGTATGAAGTGCATAGAAATGATATAAAAACATACACAAGTGGTCATCTAAATTCAAGTAAGCTATTGAGAAGAGAACAAGAAAGACATACTCCATGGGATAGCTCGAAATGGGCGCCAATCAGGTATACTAATATTAACTTAATATATTTTTCTTTGAAACCCGTCAAATGGTAAACTTACAGCGTTGAACAACATGATTGATAAACTATAAATGTAACTAGTTTGATGTCATAGAATGCCTAAAACTACGATCCCTGTTATCAAAATATTTAAACGACTTAAGTAGATTTTAACACCTTGAAACCGGGACAGCTATTTCGGCCTAAAAATGACGTTTCTGGCATATGTTTTGTTCAGTTTTAGTAAATAAATATAGTAAASAAAATGTTAGTTCTAATTTTGATGTGATATCAGCTTTTGAAAGTGCATGCACTGAGTTATTTGTAGTGTTTTCTTAATGACATCTTCACATTCTTTACTATTTTAGATCAAAACCAGCCGTCAAACTTACAAGTCATCCTGTGAGACAAGCTAATGATGACTCTGATCATAAGAAAATGCAGGATGCATTGGTTGAGTTCAGTCTTGGGCCTGTAGGGAGCATGGTTGTTGGTAAAATAACTTACTTAATTGGCAATTAAGAATGTACAGTGACGCCATTTTGTGTAGCAAAGCATGATGGTAGTTGTAGTCCTCACAATTTTTTTACATCTGCTAGAACAGTTGTTCTAACCTATTTTGGCTTTATCTAAAGGAAAATAGATGTATTTGTTCCGTTTCTATAAAGAAACTGTAAAAACGGCTTTTAAGGAGATGTTTTAGGTGCTATGAAAAATGTGAGGACTACAACTACCATCATGCTTTGCTGCACAAAATGGCGTCGCTACACATTGCCCATTTCTGTRTCTTACTTGTAGACTGAGTACAAAATGGGAAGATTATAGTTTTAAGGTTAAGGTTATGTACAGTAAACTGTAATTTTCTAACCAGGTCTTGAATCAAGTGGTTCTGTAATCATTCAAAATGAAGCTGAAGAAGAACTTGAAACATCTCAACAAGAAATCACAAAAGATTCTGTAAAGGTTGAAGAACTTCATTTGCCTGAAATAATGCTTCCAGTTGCACAGAAAGATGRCCAAGGTATAACTGGTGAATGTATTGTGTATTTAATGTAAAAGGCATATTGATGACTTTCGTAATGGCGAACACTAACTAGCATATTATCGTTAAATTCATTATGTTGACAAAATAAAACACCCAGGGCCCTAGTACTGAAAATCGCCTCGGCGAGTAGGCACCCTGAATAAATATTATTGTTATTATGTTTATTATAATAGTATAGTCATAGATATCAAAAGCTAAAGATAAGTTTTGAAAGTCTCACAGAAAATATTCAATTCTTTTGAACTTAAAGGGACATGGTCCACCAGCATCCCTTTCAAGCTTTTGTTTATATTTGAAAATAGAAATACATCATGATAATATAAGCAAAAACTTTCTCTTTATTATTCCTTTATCCTATATGAATGGAGATGCTTTAAGATTCGACCGTTAACCTGATGGATGGAAACGGATTGCAAATGGATATTCRAAGTCACCTCATTTTCCATATTATGAATTGAAAAATCTAAAACACGACYGCATTGCATGCTAGTGGACCACTGTCCCTTTAATATACAATGTATTATTCATTTTACTAGGAAGAAAGGCTCCCAACCAATACAAGAATACTTTTATACAGAGCTATCTCAATCAAACAACCAAATCTGATCAATTTGCCAGTTTTAAAGAGTTTGAAGATAAAGTTATCCAGTTGAGCGATGCTAATGACAGAGGAGTATTGACTGGAGAAAAGACTGTCAAGAAGTTGCAAAATAGGCTTTCAAAGGTTTCATGAATAGATTATAGATTATATTTAAGCTTGGTTTTCAGTAGCAATGCTAGAGCAGGCACAGAAGCAAGCAGAAATGCAAGAGGCCTTGTTTCATAGTGAAAACAACCCAACGCAGTGATAAAGGAAGCGCAGCAGCAAGTGCAAGATATCAAAATATTTCCTTTCTTTCTTATGCACTTGCACTTGCTCTTGCGTCGCTGGTGAAAACCAGGCTTTACAAACTCATTTGCGCAAAGGCGTTCCAAAACAGTTATTATATTTATATTAAAGCTACTCAACCTCAAAAAAGGCATAATTACTGTTCACTTTTAATTACTATTTAATAGGGATTGTACAAGGTTGTCCTCAAATTGGAGAAAGTTTAATATATTATGTAGGACTATAGACCTCTGTATTATGTCATGTATATCATGATTGTATGCAATGCATTGTAGGATAAGTTTTGGGACAAAACATAGTAGATGTCTTTTGTTTTCTCCAGAAACTGATCCCACAATGACGTAAATTAGGTGACATAGCTTAAGAAGAGGTCTTTTGTTATAACTGACAGCATTTTTATACTGCAAGTCTATTTAATAGACGTCTGGGTTCGTTGAAAAACGTTTTCCAATTTTCAATTTATTTGCTGTTTTATTTACAGAAACTCAGTATGTTAGACTCAATGAGTCAACGTGGTCCTAACTTTCACAAACTTCAAATATACACTGATACCTGGCAAGAGGTTATATCCAATTCAGAGCTGTTTGGAAATCTTCTTCAGAAAATTAAGGTACTGTGAACAAATTCCTTTAATGAGTACACAGCGTACAATGTCTGACCAGCTTTTTTTTATAATATTGTTGTCTGGTTAGCTTTTTTGAGGTTACTTCAACATAGCTCTCTTAAAATCTTTTTTAGCAAACACTTAGAACTTGATTATAATTATCTATGAATTAATACCCAGATATTCCTCTTTCTCAAAAAGTTGTTATTTTCACTTACTTTTAGTAAAAATATTATTTAATTTTAGTTAATAAATACAAATTTTATCTTCTCATGTTCAGATCTTTTCAACACTCAAAGATAAAATCTGTATCTCCGTGCACCCATGCAATATCCCCTAGATATAATTACTAGATGATTTTTTTTCTGAATTTTTTTGTAAAATATCCAGGATGAGTATGATAACTACATGTCATATTTACTGGACACCCAAAGACCATCGCAGCATAGGTTGTTGTATAACCATTTGGAAAGCCTAGCACAAGACCCATCAGTCACAGATAAACTAAAGAAAGAACAACAAAGAGTGGCAGGACTGGAGAAAGATGCGCTTGTATTACTGGAAGAGAATGAAAGGCAAGTTGCTTTGCAAAGTTTTGGGACTTGGGGAGGAGGAAGCGGCAACTTCTTGGTATCGCTACGATCACTTGTGAGAGCAGGGACCGCGGAGCAGTAATTTGTTTGGGGGGGCTATCGGCTGCAAAGGCAGGAGGTACTAGGTGGAATCCGGGGGAATTACACACCGGAAAATTTTGAAATCTTAACTCTCGGAAATGTCATTTCCAGCATTTTGAAGCATTATCCCAGACATATTTCTGACCGCTAAAACNGGATGGAAACGGATTGCAAATGGATATTCGAAGTCACCTCATTTTCCATATTATGAATTGAAAAATCTAAAACACGACTGCATTGCATGCTAGTGGACCACTGTCCCTTTAATATACAATGTATTATTCATTTTACTAGGAAGAAAGGCTCCCAACCAATACAAGAATACTTTTATACAGAGCTATCTCAATCAAACAACCAAATCTGATCAATTTGCCAGTTTTAAAGAGTTTGAAGATAAAGTCATCCAGTTGAGCGATGCTAATGACATAGGAGTGTTGACTGGAGAAAAGACTGTCAAGAAGTTACAAAATAGGCTTTCAAAGGTTTCATGAATAAATTTTAGAAATTAAATTATATTTAAGCCTGATTTTCACCATAGTTAGTAGATGTAGATGTAGATGTAGTAGCGATACTAGAGCAGGCGCAGAAGCAAGTGCAAATGCAATCAAAATCTTTCCTTTCTTTCTTAAATGCACTTGCTCTTGCATCACTAGTGAAAACCAGGCTTTACAAACTCTTTTGCGCAAAGGCGTTCCAAAACAATTAATTTCTTACTCAACCTCAAAAAAGGCTTATACTGCTCAGTTTTAATTACTATTTATAGACGTTTAGAGATTGTAAGGTTGTCCTTAAATCAGAGAAGACTATAGACCTCAGACTGTGTATTATGTCATATATCCAACAAATTACTATGCAATGCATTGCAAGATAAGTTTTGGGACAAAACATGGTAGATGCCTTTTGTTTTTTTCATAAAAGCTTCAGAGGTCTTTTGTTATGACAGCATTTATATGCTGCAAGTCGATCGATTTTCAACTTACACGTAATTATTTACTGTTTTATTATTTACAGAAACTCAGTATGCTTGACTCAATGAGTCAACGTGGTCCTAACTTTCACAAACTTCAAATATACACTGATACCTGGCAAGAGATTATATCCAATTCTGAGCTGTTTGGAAATCTACTTCAGAAAATTAAGGTACTGTGAACAAATTCCTTTAATGAGTACTCAGCGTACAATGTCTGCACCAGCTTTTTTTATAATATTGTTGTCTGGCTAGCTTTTTTGAGGTTACTTCAACATACATGTAGCTCTCTTAAAATCTTTCTTAGCAAACAGTTAGAACTACAGTTGTTATCATAATCATATGAGGAAGTAGCTAATCCCATTAAACAGGGCTCGAAATAATGGCCAGACATATGCAGGACAAGATGTCCTTCCAAATTCATTTTTGGAAGAATTTTGAAAAGACCAAAAACTTTATTATAATACTGTTATTTTCTTTTAATTATTTAGCGAATTGGGAATTGATTGTTACTTTTTTATCTAAAAATGTGTGAGGTCAATCAATTGTCCTTTCAAAACCCGATTTGGCCGGTCATCTACTAGCGAATTTGGAAGGACATTGTCCTTTGACTGGCTGTTATTTTGATCCCTTTTAAAGAGTGCTCAAATTATACAGTCACATATAGTATAGAGCTATATAAGACTATAATATACATCTAATGAACAGCTGGCAATATTTGCTGTTACTCCGAGTTTCGTGCTGAGTTTACGTACTCATCAGACAGTATTTAAAATACTGAAAACACTGTCTCATTCATGAGTGTGTAAGCATGAAACTTGGAGTAACAGCAATTCTTGCATCTTTGTTACAATACATTAGTTTTTATCATGATTATAATTATCTATGAATTAATACCCAGATATTCCTCTTTCTCAAAAAGTTGTTATTTTCACTTTTTAGTGAAAATATTAAAGTTAATTAAATATACAAATTTTATCTTCTCTTGTTGAGATCGATCTTTTCAACACTCAAAGATAAGATCTGTATCTCCGTGCACCCATGATCCCCTAGATATAATTACTAGATTATTTCTGAATATTTTTGTAAATTATCCAGGATGAGTATGATAACTACATGTCATATTTACTGGACACCCAAAGACCATCGCAGCATAGGTTATTGTACAACCATTTGGAAAGCCTGGCACAAGACCCATCAGTCACAGATAAACTAAAGAAAGAACAACAAAGAGTGGCAGGACTGGAGAAAGATGCGCTTGTAYTACTGGAAGAGAATGAAAGGCAAGTTGCTTTGCAAAGTTTTGGGACTTGGGGAGGAGGAAGCGGCAACTTCTTGGTATCGCTACGATCACTTGTGAGAGCAGGGACCGCGGAGCAGTAATTTGTTTGGGGGGGCTATCGGCTGCAAAGGCAGGAGGTACTAGGTGGAATCCGGGGGAATTACACACCGGAAAATTTTGAAATCTTAACTCTCGGAAATGTCATTTCCAGCATTTTGAAGCATTATCCCAGACATATTTCTGACCGCTAAAACCGCACACACTGTCACACGATATTCAAAAAAGTCCCAAAGACTTCGCAAAAAGGTTCAATAATTTTTCATGCTTAGTTTTTAACCAATCTTAAATACAATGAAAAGTGAAATTTCATAAGGAGGCTCTGCACTTCTTTATTTAAGAAAATTCAAAATGGCCGAAAAATTATTGGGGGGGGCTATAGCCCCCCAGCCCCCCCTGCCCCGCGGTCCCTGGAGAGATCTTTTCAACACAAGATAAAATCTGTATCGCCGCACACCCATGTAATATCCTCTATTATATTTAATATTAATATTGAATGATTAATTGTAGATTGAAAATAGAGCTTGAGGAAGAAGAAGCAAGGGCACAGAAATCCAYTGAACTTGAAGATCATTCTTATGGTGAGTTTAGTCCAAGGGTTACTACGTAGGAAATGCATTTGGCAGTCTTACTGTTTTTGACAATCATTTGAATGTGATAATAATTGTTCATTATACTGTAAACATATTATGTTGTGCTGTCATTTGTCTTGTACACATTCTTACAAATATTTACAATTTGAAATAATTTCAAAAGAGATTATCAAATAATTTCGAATCCTCTAATGGTAAAGGATTCTTGAGACTGGGATTCAGGGAAGATCATGCCCCTAATTAGGGAAAGCTATTGGTGATCCCTAACGGTACAGTCAAATATGGCAAACCAGCCCTAGTCACTAGTTTTAAGCAGTTGAGATCAGGCTGGATTTTGATTTTGTAAGTGGAATTAAGTTGTGTCTAGTAATTTTAAACTATGATATGTTACATTTTTTTTTAGATCACCCTCGAGTTAACATTTCTGTGGAAGAGGTCCCAAAAGATCTTGAAGAACAGGTCAATGATCTTCACGTTCAGGTATTTGTAAAACTTAAACTGCATGATCTACTTTTAAGCTTAAGAGCTTCTGGCTCATTCCCATAGGTCTTTTCTGAGGTAGCGGTTTGCATTGCATTATGGTGTAGGTTCAGTACAAACATCTTTTGTTCTTGCTGCCAAATATGGTGTTCTTTGTACTGAAGCTAGACCACAATGCACTAAGATTTTGTATTTTAAGGTCTCCAAAGTGAATGAATGTACAAATAATGCTGTCAGTGGCTTAACCCTTTCACCAAACTATCCCGGTTTTCCGGGATTACGATTTGACTCCCGTGACGAACTATCCCGGTTTTCCGGGATTCACAATCGTTTTTAAAGTGATTGTAAAAACTCATGGTCAAGTCTCTTTGAAACTCAGACACAATTTTATTGAAATTATTAATATAATTTTGTTACATGGAATTTAGCAGTTAAATAACGTTTTTCTTCATTACTTCGTGTGGGAGAAATGACATGCTGTAGTGTTATCAATTTGGACAAGATATTGCATTGCAGTGTTTTTTGAATGAGGGTGAGATGCATGGTGAGAGCAAGATGGCAATAGGGCGAGACAACTGGTTGCCACACCCTCTCATGCCTTCTTTTTTCTCATAAAACTTGACACGAGAGGAGAGAATGACTGGGGATTCTAACTGTAGAATTATGATAATAATCGCAGTTTCGAGATCTTATTTGTGCAGCCTTAACCTGGAAAGCATCTAATATATTCTTTTATTCAGCAGAGAATCTATTGCTAGGCAAACACTCGAAGAAGAAAATAAACATTTATGCTTGATTGAAGCTAAGCATGCACAAAAGAAAATTTGAAACTGGAGTATTTCTGTATTGCTGATGCAAAATGCATATCATGAGAAAAGCATTGTGCAGTAAGTTGTAAATGTTTTCTGTCAGATAATGGAAAAGCTTGAGGAAATGAAAGCAATAAAAGAAAGNAATAATTTCAAAAGAGATTATCAAATAATTTCGAATCCTCTAATGGTAAAGGATTCTTGAGACTGGGATTCAGGGAATGATCATGCCCCTAATTATTGGTGATCCCTAACGGTACAGTCAAATATGGCAGACCAGCCCTAGTCACTAGTTTTAAGCAGTTGAGATCAGGCTGGATTTTGATTTGTAAGTGGAATTAAGTTGTGTCTAGTAATATGATATGTAACATTTTTGTTTACAATGTAGATCACCCTCGAGTTAACATTTCTGTGGAAGCCGTCCCAAAAGATCTTGAAGAACAGGTCAATGATCTTCACGTTCAGGTATATGTAAAACAAACTGCATGATCTACTTTTAAGCTAAGAGCTTCTGCGAGCTCATCCCCATAGGCCTTTTCTAAGATAGCAGTTTGCATTACATTATGGTCTGGGTTCAGTACAAACATTTTTTGTTCATGCTGCTAAATATGACATTGTTTGTACTGAAGCTAGACCACAATGCACCATGATTTTGTATTTCAAGGTCTCCAAAGTGAATGAATGTACAAATATTGCTGTCAGTGGCATAAAGTGATCGTAAAACTCATGGTCAAGTCTCATTGAAACTCAGACACAATTTTATTGAAATTATTATAAAATTTTGTATGGAATTTAGCAGTTAAATTAAGTTTTTTTATTCATTACTTCATGTGGGAGAAATGACGTGCTGTAGTGATATCAATTTGGACAAGAAGATATTGCATTGCAGTGTTATTGATTGGGGGCCGAGGAAGATGGCAATGGGGCGAGACAACTGGTTGCCATATCACCAGACTCATGCCTTATCCTTTTTTCTTTTGTCTCATAAAACTTGACATGAGAGGAGAGAATGACTGGGGATTCTTCTGTAGCATGATGATTTCTGTACATGTATTGCTGATGCAAAATGCATATCACATGAGAAAGCATTATGCAAAGTTGTAAATGTTTGCAGATTATGGAAAAACTTGAGGAAATGAAAGCAATAAAAGAAAGACAAAGACTTGACTGTGTACCACTGTCAGTTTGTCATCACCTGGAACAGTGTGTCAAGGAGACTGAGGTACAGCTTGTTTATAAAGGTTGTCATGTTAAAAATAAGAGTGTTTTCAAAAAAAGGACGTCTGTCAAATAGTATTTTTATAATGAATATTATTTATATTTATTGGTTGATATTAAAAGGGCCATAGTCAACTTGCATTGAATGCAGTTTTACACATACACAAGAAGAAGCTCAAAGTACGACACCTATGATGACTATGGCCCTTAAGTTTAAGAAAAAAATATGATTATATGTACATATCAAATTATAATATGTTTACATAACTCACAAATGGTGTACATAGTTTTTTATATTACATTGTATTTTGATAAAATACAGCTTTCAATGAGTTTTATGTCAATTCTTTATGTTTTGTTCAAAGTGACMACAACAAGAATTGCAGGCTTTCTGCACTACAGTGTAGTTGACATTTTTCAGTTGCTTTTGTTGTTGCTTTTTATTGGCTATCTTTTTATCACCCATTTTGTCCAGGATACGAATATTGTCATTATCAGGGGTTGTTTATAAATATTGCTGTAAGGTGATGATAATGTATAGTTAGTGTTGTTTAGGGTAATTCCCCATAACTTTCAGCATCAAAAGCTTTTCTGGCCTTTTTCAATTCTTCATTCATAGTAAGAAGATCCTGTAAAATAAGATGACAAGAAGAAATCAGATATAAATTATGTGGATAATAATTAATACCAAATTTCAAACAATCATGATACAAACCTTGACCCTGGCATATTTCTTGGGATCTTTTCTTATTAGAAACACAATGTCTTCGCAGTGAACTTTTCCTTTTTTCCCTACCTCCATTGCTTTCAATGTCTGATGATATAATTCATGTAATATAGACTAAATCCCCCAAATATAACAAGCTAAATAGACTTYTGAACCTTTTATGTCACTACTTGATTKTCAATGCATTGTGGGATCAGTTTSCAGAGAAAACATGTTCTGTCCCAAACATATCCTACAATTCATTGCTTCGATATATGACGTAAACAGTTTCAGAGGTCTATTTGTTACAATTTATATTGTATTTATTTYGCACTGAAGTTTGTCCATCATGCTGGTAGGTTCATTATTAGCTGAATGTTACATTTCTCACAAGTTACAAAAAAACCTAACCAGAACACAGAAGACCAGATATTAGATATACACTAGTATTTTCATTGGTCAAGGCAYTGCGTCTGCGTTTGTGTTTCATTTTCACTATGGTAAGTACACTGAAGTGAGAGCAAACACAGCCCAAAACTTAAGCRTAAGAGAATGAAACATTTTGATCCTTGTGTGTCTGTTTGTGTTTATTAAGTTWAGGCTTGCGTTGGGTCGGTTTTCATGATGTTTATGAGCCTTGAGTGCTTGCGCTTAGCATCAGGCTTAGGTTTAAGTCGTAGTTACATGTAAAACCAATCTTTAACATACCATTTCTGTAATGTACTCAATAACAAGGTCTTCAAGAAAGTCAACAGATTCTGTGTAAGGGCACTGGTCATCTCCAAAACCATACATCATACATCTTACTATTGGGAAAAAACACAATGCATGTTAAAAGTTCAAGGGCTGGATGACTTACAACCTGGCGTAACTAATCAATGAAATCGATAAAATCGATACTAATCGATACAAACCGTAACTAATCGATCGATCATTATCGGAAATCGATAAAAATCGATATTCAGCTTTGCTGTGATTATCGATTTTATCGATTTTCATCGATTTTTATCGATTTCCTATCTGTACTGAATTTACTTATAAATAATTACGCTACGTTCACACGGGGCCGGTCAAGTTTGAGGACACCTCGGTTTTAGGACAGTTTCCACTGTTCACGCGGAACCGTCCACATTTCGGTACGGATTGAAACAGTGTTTACACGGATCCGTTCATGCTTCGATGTGA